ATACACTTAAAAATATCCCCTCCCCCTTACAGCCCCGCCTCCCCAATATCACTTGATCCTATTTGCAGCATCTTACCACCTGAAGCTTACATATTTTTATTGATTTCAGAGAGGAAGGGAAAAGGAGAAAGAACATCAATGATGAGAATCATTTGATCAGCTGTCTCCTGCACGCCCCCTACTGGGGATCCAGCCCCCAACGGGGCATACGCCCTTGACTAGAATTGAACCCCGGACCCTTCAGTCCACAGATCGACACTCTATCCACTGAGCCAAGCTCGCTAGAGTACATGCTTACTTCTTTATCTGAGCTCCCAAGACACTGTAGCTCCACGAAGGCAGGGATTTTTCTCTCTATCGTTCCCTGGTATATCCCAGGGATCCGCTTAGTGCCTGGCACATAGTAGGTGCTCAATAAATATTTGTGGATTGGATGAATTCACTCCCACCAGATGCCAGCTTTCCGCCTGGATACTCACATCTACCACGGGGGTCTGGTTCACAGGGGAGGCTGGAAATGGGGGGCTGGTGTGGGCCCCTGTGGATAGGCCACTGGCCACGGACACTCTGTCCACCATCAGCAGCACACAGAGCCAGCACAGCACCCAGTGCCCATTCCGTCGTCTGCCGGCCATCGGCCCCCACGGGGCCAGGCCTTCACCCTCTGCTTCCCCTTCTGCGGTGGTTCAGTTTCAAATGGCTGGCAGCTCCGGCCGCTGCAGGCTGGGGGTGAGAAGGAGGGACAGTGTCACTAAAGACCCCAAGACCCAGCAGGAGGGGCCTGCAAACTTTTTCAACTGAGGAACCGCCCTCCTTCCTCCCCCACCCCCCAAAGGAAAACCAAGGTAGAAACGCACTAGCACCCATGACCTCATTTCATCCCCCAACTCGCCTAGAGGTGGGTGCTAGTGCTCCCAGTCTACCCAGGAGCCACCTGGAGGCAGAGCCAGAGGTCGCCTCCTCCTCTAGGTCTCGGAACAACTCAGGAGCAGTTATGGTCCCCGCCCCTTTTACAGAGGAGGAGCAGGGCTCAGAGAAGTGGCTCCAGCTGCCCGAGGCCACACAGCAAGGAGGTCGCCCAGCCAATAGTGCCTTTGATATGGAGATCGAGGCCCAGAGGGCAGCGAATTGCTCAGTCACAGCCTGTTAGCAGATTCCGGCCGGACTCAGCCTCTTCCCTAAACATCAGGGCAAAAAACAACTTCGTTTTTCTTCCTAAGAAAAACTGGGGGGCTGGGGAGGGGGGGGGGCCTCTGGCACATTCATTTCCTTCTCTGGGCTCTCCCACACGTCATGGATGAGCAGGTTCTATTTTTGCCAGCAAGAAAAACACCGCCCAGAAAACAACGTTGTTTTTTGTAATCCTTTGCACAGGCGTTTCTCAACGTCCTGGCAGGGGCGGGAGGAGGCCCGGAGGAAGAGAGGGAGAGGGAAGGGGCCGAAGCACCAGCAAAGCATCTTTCCTCACCTGTTGGCTCGAACCCCCTTTGCTGCCCTGAACTTCACTTGTCACCGACTTGGAAGCGCTGACCCGCAGCCGGAGACTCCCGGCTTCCAATATCGGGGCGATCACTTCCAACCTCGGAGCCTCTGGTTCGCCCGTAGCCTGGAGACAAACGCTGGCCCCTCGGAGCACACAGCAGGGGCTCAATAAATGCTCGCGCCTTCGGTGCCCCCAGCGCGAGGATCCGCACGCGCCTCCTCTTTCTGGGCCGCGGGTTTCGTGTACTCAGTCCAGGGGGCCGTCCTTACACCGCCCCGGCCCGAGGACACGCCCCCTAGAGCTCGCCCCGCCCCTGCCCTTAAAGGCACAGGCTCCCGGGGAGGTCCTGAGGGTCTAGCAGTCTCACTCGCCACCCTCCTCTGAGCTCACTGCTTGCCCATAGGTTCTGCTTTCGCTGATAAAGCAGAAGCGAGCTGAAACCAGATGAGTGAAGGCAGCAGGAGTCCAGAGAGGGGAAGTTGTTAAAAGGTGAAACTAAAGGGTTCTGTTCCCGAGGGAGGGGCAGGCAAGATCACGGACGGTGATTAAGGAGTATTGGAGATGGTCCCAGGTGGGAGCGCCCCGCCCTGCCCACAGATAGTCCAGCTGTCCTGCCCGCAACGCCTCTATCTGAGAAAACCCCTAACTGGGTTGAGCATTTGCCTCTAGTACAGCGTTTCTCAACCTGTGGGTCGCGACCCCCTTTGGGAGTCGAACGACCCTTTCACAGGGGTCGCCTAAGACCATCGGAAAACACATCTATAATTACATATTGTTTTTGTGATTAATCACTATGCTTTAATTATGTTCAATTTGTAACAATGAAAATACATCCTGCATATCAGATATTTACATGACGATTCATAATAGTAGCAAAATTACAGTTATGAAATAACAACGAAAATAATTTTATGGTTGGGGGTCACCACAACATGAGGAACTGTATTAAAGGGTCGCGGCATTAGGAAGGTTGAGAACCACTCTTCTAGTAGCATAGCTTTTTTTGTTGTTGTTAATCCTCAATTTTTTTCCATTGATTTTTAGAGAAAGTGGAAGGGAGGGAGTGGGGAGGGAGAGAGAGACTGGTTGTCCAGGAACCCAGGTATGCACTCTTGACCTCGAATCAAACCCGCAACCCCTCTATGCTCTGGGGAACACTCTAACCACTGAGCAACACCGCCAAGGGCTAGTAGCATAGCTTTTGAGAGAGGAAGGCAGCCTCGCTGGTGTGGCTCAGTGGATTGAGCATCATTCCATTCACCAAGAAGTCACTGGTTCAATTCCAGGTCAGGGCACGTGCCTGGGTTGCAGGCTTGATCCTCAGTAGGGAGTGTGTAGGAGACAGTTGATCAATGTTTCTAACTCTCTTTTCCTCTCTCTAAAATCAATTTTTAAAAATATTAAAAATAAAGAGAGAGAGAAAGAGAGAGGAAGGCAAATAGATCAAGACAGGGGAATTAGTGATCTGCTTGTCCCGGCCTCCTGGGGAAGTTCTGGTCATTTCTGTCTTCCTGCCACTGGCCTGGGGAGAGCTCGGGGCTGGGAAAGGGGTGATGAGGCTGGGAGCCAGCGTCTCCTCCCAGGCACTCCTCTGGCCCCACACCCACATCCACAGTTGCACACATCTCATTCCACCACCTTTAAGTCTGCCCACTTCCTCAGCACCTGCAGGACTGGCGCCGGAGGCCCTCACCTTCCAGCCCAAGGCCCCTTTCTCGCTTCCTCTTTCACCCCCACCTCCATCCCCTCCTGCTCCAGCCCTGGGAGTGCTCCCCCTTCTCTGAACACCCTGCTCCTTACACAGGGCTGTACCGCTGCTCCTTCTGAGTCCTCTGCCCGGTGCCAGCCCTTACCTCTCCCCTGCCTCTCATGTCGCCAGGCCCAGCCCAAATGCCACTGCCTCCAGATGGTCTTCCATCCTCCTCCCGGCCCCTGCACCCCTGAGGTGTCTCACCTTTAGAGAGATTACATGACGTGTTTGGAATCTCGGAGCCTCGGGGTTCTGTGTGACCTTTGGTAACATTTACACTCTCTGAGCCTCAGTTTTCTTCCCTGTCAAATGGGGATGAAGTAGTGTCTCTCTCATGGGGTCCTTGCATGATGAAACAACACTGGATCATGCCCCAAGCCCCATGCCTGGTGCTGGGTACACGTTCCTTCATTGGAAGGCATTGTGTTTTTTGTTTGTTTGTTGTTCTTTAATATATCTTGATTGAATTCAGAGAGGAAGGCGAGGGAGAGAGAGATAGAAACATCAATGATGAAAGAGATTCACTGATCGGCTGCCTCCTGCACGCCCCACACTGGGGATCGAACCCACAAACTAGGCATGTGCCCTGACTGGGAATTGAACCGTGACCTCCTGATTCATGGGTTGATGCTCAACCACTGAGCCACACCAGCTAGGGCAGAAGGCATTGTTGTTGCTATTATTCCATTGATCCTACAATGACGTACCTGCCTGTGTCCCCCAACAGCTAGGAGCCCCTCACAGCAAGGGGTAGACCCCGCTGGTCCCCTGTCCGGGCAACCGGCACACAGGCTCTCACAGCTAGAGTCTGTGTGTGGGAATAACAGCCGGCCCAGCTCACCTGCTGCCTGAGGAAGTGGCTCCGAATGGCTGAGTTTGGAGCCTAAGTCCTTCTTCCCTCAGGGACCCTGCCTCTGGAACTCAGGGGCCCGGCGGCCAGGGCGAGGCCTTGATGTCACCATCCTAGGCTAGCTGGGCAGCCAGGCCACTCCATCCGTGTCTCCCAGAGGCCAGGGAGGGGAGGGGTGTGTGTAGAATGAGTGCCTGTGGGAAGAAACCTGGAAAGATCCAAGGGAAAGAATCGCTGGACACAGAGCAGGGAGGTAACTGTGGTCTGGAACACAGTCCTGGTTTGCCTCTGCTCTGATGGACAGGATCCGTGTTAGGGCCTATTTCCACCTGGGAAAGGCCATTTGACATCACGCATTCATAGGTCTGAGGCCAGGACGCACTGAGATTATGTGTGCAGACCCCCCAGCTTGGTATTTGTAAAAGCTGAATGGGTGGAAGCTGGGAGGAGTCCCCTTCACCACCGAGGTCCTGCATCACTGAGAGACAGGCCAGCTCAGCCTGACACTGAGCCCCCCTGTTCAGGAGGCCCAGGACGGGGGTGGCAGCTCCGGGAACAGCGCAAGTACCCGGGGGGAAGCGTGAGCAGAAGTAGTAAGGAGTGAGGGGGAACTTGGAAGAGGAAAGAGAGAATCGGAACTTTCAGTCCTTAGCCCACGAGGCACAGAGACTTGGAAGGTTCCTCCAGATGCCCGAGTCTCCCCTGCAACAATGCCAGTGCCCTCCTGGCCCCGGCAGCCCTGGGCACATAGTCGCATGGCCCTTGAACTCCCGCAGGGACAGGGTGCTTCCCAAGGCAGTCCGATTGCCAGGGGACAGTGCCAATGGCGAGGAAGTGTTGTTGTTTTTTAAATTTTATTTTTATTTATTGGTTTGAGAGAGAGAGAGAGAGAGAGAAACACTGATTTGTTGTTCCACTTATGTATACATTCATCGGTTGCTTCTTTTTTTTTTTTTTTTAAATATATTCTTTATTGATTTTTCACAGAGAGGAAGGAAGAGAGACAGAGAGTCAGAAACATCGATGAGAGAGAAACACCGATCAGCCGCCTCCTGCACATCTCCCACTGGGGATGTGCCCGCAACCCAGGCACATGCCCTTGACCGGAATCGAACCCGGGACCCCTCAGTCCACAGGCCGACGCCCTATCCACTGAGCCAAACCGGTCTCGGCTCATCGGTTGCTTCTTGTATGGGCCCTGACCAGGGAAAGAACCTGCAACCTTGGCGCACTGGGATGATGCTCTGACCAACTGAGTTACCTGTCAGGGCGCACGGAAGTGTTTCCATTGCCAGCAGGAGTCTCCATGGGGCTAATCCTTCTAGAAAGTGACTTGGCAGTGGACACATGTCAATCTTAAGAGCCTCGAAAGGACGCGTGCCCTCTGCACCGCCGATGCTGCTCCCGGAGCTTTCCTGAGCGAAGGATTTGGACGATGCTCTGAGCGCAGGAATGTTTTACTACAGGGACACTCACGATTGGGCAGCCGTTGAAAACGCCCTGAGTATCCAGTAATGGCCTTGCTGCGGTTGCCATGGACACAATTGTTAAATCCGTTTTAGTAAGACTCTTAGAGCACTTCCCTTTGGGGCTCCCCCACATGTAGTGGATAAGAATTAGGTCTTTGGATCAGCGAGACCCAGGCCTGCAACTGGAGTTTGTCCCGAGGTGTGGGGGGAGGGAGGTCACCACTCTTCCAGACTCTGGCTTTCTGTCTTGACAATGGAGTTCAGTTCCATGGCTCGCTCAGGGCAGCCGTGAAGACTGAACACGGAAATGCTGGTCCGATGTCTTGTCTACAACACAGAATTGCACAGGGGTCACAGGAAGCACACCCAGGTGGCTGGTCACACCTGAGCCACCGTGATGACCACAGGAGGTCACATGACCTATACAGGGCGGGTCAAAGGCGGAGCACTGGGGCGATGCTGTCACAGCAAGGGGACTGCCTGGTGCTGGCGAGGCCGCCTCTGAGCCAGACCTGGGTGCTCTGCCTGGGATCCCTGTTCTCCCGACCTGGCCAGCTGGGGGCCCTAGAAACTGACTGTGATGCCCCGGCTGGTTTGGCTCAGTGGATGGAGCATCGGCCTGTGGACTGAAGGGTCCTGGGTTCGATTCTGGTCAGGGGGACATGCCCTGGTTGCAGGTTGGATACCCAATGAGGGGCATGCGGGAAGCAGGCTATCAATGGTTCTCTCTTATCATGAATGTTTCTGTCTCTCTCTCCCTCTCCCTTCCTGCCGACCAGGCTGATCAGGGGAAGGTGCTGCCCCCATCACCCCGCTGCTGCGAGGCCTGAGCCCCGGGCTTCGCAGCCGCTGTGGCTTTGTCCGGATGGACGTCTGGAAGATGTCTGCCCTAATTAGCATATTACCCTTTTATTAGTATAGATATAGATCTAAAAAAACTGACTGTGATATGGTAGTACCTGTTTCAATATACATATACACGGTGAAAAGATGACCACAAGCAAGTTAATTTACATCTCATCACCTCACATAGTCATTTTTTGGTGTGTGGTGAGAATACTTCAGATCAACTCCCAGCAAATGTTAAGGAAACAGTGCCATTAACTGTGGGCATCATGTTGTACATTAGATCTCCAGAATGTATTCATTTTGCATAACTGAAACTTTGTACCTTTTGACCAACACCTCC